CACCATCCGGGATTAGGGACACGCAGTACAAATTTACTAGTTGGTTGAGGACCCCGGTCCGAAACACCGACACCGTTTGGCATAAAATGGCTCAAAAGCGGCTCCTCAAGCCGATGGAGAAGCCACGCCAAACGGGGCTAAGAAGGGTCCAAATAAGTACATTATTGCACATGACATCTATCCGACCATCTAACTCCCACAAATGAGATGAAAACCATACTACCTGCAAAACTAGTTGAATTCCTGCAATCTTGCAACTTGCTTTTAATTCAGGCATAACTAGCACACAAAAGTAGCAATTTCATTACACAGCCTGCAGGCTCCCATCAACGCCCCAAGCTCCTATTACTACCGTAGCAATTTCATTCCGCAGCAAGATAGAACCAGCACATTAACCCGTGTTACATAGCCTAGAATATTAGTAGAAAACAGAAGTATTAGAAGTTTGTGTGTAGTATCTACAATTAATCAAAATTACTTCTCTTTGGCATCTCTCTTACACTGAATTTTATTGTCATAGTATGAACCCTGAATTGCATTGCCGCTCCTACACTGAAATCAGGCCTAACTGATCCAAGAAACATCACTAGTGATACTTAAACTATTGTCGCCGAGAATTGCGCTCCATGTTTAGTCCATATGTTAAATACAGATACACAACCTTAGCCATATATATCTTAAATACAGAAACACTACCTTAGTTATATTGTTCTAATAAGTAGCGAGACACTTAGTTTAAATTTAAAAGCGCAATAGGAGATCTCCATATGTTCATAACAGGCTAGTTCAGTAACATGTATAACTTGAAGCTCTGTAGCACCATATGTCCACACTAATATATGGAACAAGCTTAAAATGCAATGACGACGTCAGAGCTCGGAACCAGAGTCGAAACGGAGACCAAACAGTGGAACCCACACACCAATTCGAATCTCAAGAACTATAGTCCCCAAGCAAGCCAAGCCAATGCGTGCACTAGCTATCGCGCGGTGTTCAGGCGTAGGCAAGGCGCAAGCACGCGGCAGGACTGGACGCAAGCGAAGGCGGCCGTGCGACTCAAACCCTAGCAAGAAAAGAGACGAGGAAAAGGGAAAGGGGATGGGATTGGAAGGAGAAGATGGGGGATGTGAGCAGGTGGAGGCGCACCTGATCCACCCGACGCCGCCGGTCTCACTTGCCGAGCGTCCGCGGAGCGGATCGTCGCTGCGTCGGCGTCGAGCACTCGAGCGTGAGTCGTTCCCGGGAGCGGAGCGGAGCGAGCTCGCTAGCGACGAGCGTGAGTCGTTCCCGGCCACGAGTGGAGATGCGCGAGACCCACGCGGTTTGAGGAGGATTGAGTTGGATTCGTTCCCATCCACGTCTTCCCAAATGCGAATTTTGCACTCACGTGGTTTGCCCACCCGGCGTGGATCGGATCCACCGCTAGCGGGGTTTCGTCCCCAATCCACGCCAATCCCGCCCTATCCAAACGAAGCCTGAGATGGATGGCAGTCGCATTCATATGCGGGGCTGCGGACGGAGGCCACGGATTGAAGCTGGAGTACGCGTAGACCTCTCTCGATTATTTCACTCTCTACTCGCGTAATTGCATGCCTACCCACTCGCGAAAGAATACGAGATGACCTCTTCGATCTTCGTTCTCTCTTTACGACTAATTACTCCTCTTCATTCTTCACTACTCTCGGGCTTCTCGGAGCCCCAAGCGTCGGCCAGGCTCCGCGCCTCCACACCCACCGGTGACCGTACTAGCAGCGCTATATATACACTCAGTGACTCAGATGCACAGCAGTGTCCAGCTCTATCTGCAACCCCTTCCAGCTACTTAAACATGAGTGCAAGCATGTTCAATTCTTGTTTCACGCATCAGTTCAAACTCAACTTTTTGGCGACGAAGAAGGTCGCCATTAGGCACCCAGTCAGCTCCGGGGACATCTCCGCTGGAGGATCAAATGCTACCCGCGTGGAAGTAGGAAATTTGACAACGGTGGAGTATGTATCTATCTTCCTCTACCATGTGAGCGAATCCAAAGACGCCAAAGCTATCTTCGTCGAGGCCTTAGTGATGGACAAAGACGGTGCTCTATCTTCATCCCAAAAAAAAAGGCTGGTGCATGATTTCGCACCAAAGAGCAGTGGTAGTAAGTCTAGTAACAGCCACGGCTGGCATCACTTCGTGAAGCGAAGCGTCCTAGAGTCGTTCTACTTGACGAATGGCTCGTTTATCATCACGTGTGGGGTCAAAGTTGTGCAGGGCGACCGCCTCAAGGTGCCGCCCTCGACCTCGAACATGGGAAGCCATCTCGGCCTCCTGCTGGATTCCGCAGAGGGTTCCGATGTCACAATCGTGGTTGACGGCGAGAAGTTCCCTGCTCACCGGGCTGTTCTCTTGCCGCCCGCTCGCCGGCCTTCAAGGCGCAGCTCCTGGGGTCCATGGCCGAGGCCAACATGTCATCCATCACCTTGCATGACATTGCGCCGGCCACGTTCAAAGTCATGCTTGAGTTCATGTACACACCGATGCTTGTCCTGACGATGACGAGCTCGGGGACTCCCCAGATGACATGTTTCGGCACTTGCTCGCTGCAGCGGACCGGTTTGCCTTGGATCGTCTGAAGATTTTGTGTGCTGCAGACCTGTGGGATAATATATCAGTGGATGCAGTTGCTGCCACTTTGATCTGCGCTGAAACATATAACTGCCCACAACTGAAAAACAAGTGCATTGACTTCATTGCGGAGGAGAAGAACTTCAAGAAGGTTGTGTTAACAGATGGTTTTGTTCAGCTGGCGCAGCAATTCCCATCGATTCTTGATGAGGTGAGGGAGAAAGTTGGACCATAGAGGCCGGCAGCATGTATCCATTGTAGCCTGTGGCTATAGTACTAGCTTTATGGCATTTTCAGTTCGGCAAATGCTATCTAAAGTCTATTGAAAAGTGCTTCAATTTTCTGTTTGTAAGTGTAGCACTATCATGTTACTACTATCATGCAGACTTTTTATTATCCAATCAACAGTTTGGTTAGTGAGGTCGTTATTGTATCTTAATTATTCGCATTGCGTGTCTTGCTCTTGCATAGTATCACAATGCAAGTCCGCACATATATGTCTGTTTTTCTTAAATTCATTTGATTCTTGTATTATGCGATTCGAATCTTGCTTGTAAACTCACTCCACGACAGAAAGATTGCTAGCCGTGTCGACAGATACATCTGGTATCTGAACGTACGTATGAGATTGTTGGACTTCTATGAGTCAAATTTTCAAATTCTCAAGTAATGTATTCGGAATATTTATTATCTCCATGCTAATATAAGGAGTAATACTGCTATGCTATAGTTGTCAGGTTGTAGTATGATCAGCGCATGCTATGTACGTATATGGCCTACGGCCTATCCATAACATGTTAAAACTTTATTGTTGTAAAAGTATGTTTTACTTATCAAATTAATAGAGCTCAAAGTTTTTTCTATCAAAATATGTGTAAATCTATGCCAATCTGCAATTGATTCCGAGAGCCCGACATATGCTTTGGCGGTTGCAAACTAATGCGACTTGAACTTCTTTTTAAACTTGCTACTACATGACTACAAATTTCGGTGATGGACGGTTTCTTTGATGATGTAAAAGCAACAAATACAATGCTACGGGCTTGTTCGGTTAGTGGATTCATGCCCAGAATCGCTTCCTACTCATCTACGATTATATAAACTAGACTATGGTTCTTCCAAAGAACCGAACGGTGCCTTAAGGAGATTGCCTTTGGTTAAAATCACACCCTTAAAAAGGACCAAATAAAGATCTTAATTTTAAGAGGTAACTTTAACTTCCGTAACCTTGATTAGAGGCAATACAATTTGGTTTACTAACTGTGTATACATGACTAGTAATACTCTATTTGATTGAATCATGTTGATTGCCCAATTGAACAAATGCAACCATCGGTACAACCTTATTCCATTTATGTAATCTATTCCTAACTAGGGCCCTTTGAAAAGTTATGTTAAGAGGTGTGAAACTAAGAATATGAAACCTTAATCACAAGTACTTCAAAAAAATTATCTCGGCAGGAGACTAGTGCCCATAATGGTCCGAACGACGTTGCACCAACTCTTTCTACATAGTCTGAACGACTAATTGTAGTAGATAACTAGAGCATCTAATAGCAAATAAACATCAAATTAATGGTCCGACCGAAGTGTACCTCCTAAGTTAACCAAGAGTTTACAGAAGTGCTAAGCAGCTAAAAATTACATCTTTTGATGGTAAATATCTTAAGCTGATTCTTTTGACGGTATATATCTAAAGACCAGTTCTTTTGACAGTATGGATCCAATTTTCCCTGAACCAAAACGTACCAAAAAAAAAAACTAACCGTGTCTCCGCTGAAATACTACAGTACTACTCAGTGAGAGGTGTGCTGAAGATGACATGTTCCCAATGACCCAATCCCACTTGCAACGCGCAGATCCCCCCCCCCCCCCCTCCCTTTGCTAGTTCTCTTGTGCGTTGCCCTGCCCTTGGAGGCCGGCAGCGCCACAGCGGCGGGGGCTTTCTTCGCTGCCTGTTCTCGTCGTCTGCATCAAGGCGCTATGCTACGCAACGCAGCCTCGTGTCGTGTTCCAGTACCTCACAACTCCGCTCGAGAACAGGCATTTGCTCGACGCGTATCCCGGCAATTCGAGGAAGGAAGGCCGCGGATCCATCGCCGGCGGACCTGTCGGCTTCCTGTGCGTCTCTAACGTGCGCGTGTGCACCGGGCATCCGCGAAAAATCTGACTGCTTTCCTCGTGTGCGACAGTGCGACGGTGTTTCGTTCGAATCGTTTCGCGGCGGCCCGAGTCGGACGCCGACGCGCCGCACGAGTAGATCCGCCTTTGACACCCGCAGGCCGCAGCCCCCGCACCGCACGCACCGCCTTCCTTTTACCTTTCCGTTCCGTTCGATTCCGTCCCGTCCCCGTTCCTGTTCAGCACAAGCCCAACCCCTGCCGCGCGCGCGGCTATGGCGGCGGCGACCGGCGCAGGCGCGGTGAGCGAGGGGATGCGGCGGCTCACGCAGCTCTCCCTCGTCTCCAAGGTCTGCTCGGAGCTGGAGTCCCACCTCGGCGTCGCCGACCGCGTCCTCGCCGAGTTCGTCGTCGACCTGGGCCGCGCCTCCGCCTCCGCCGCCGCCTTCGCCGCCGCGCTCAGGGACCACGGCGCCGAGCTGCCGGACTACCTCGTCCGCTCCCTCCACGCCGTCATCGCCGCCATCCCCGACACCGCCCCGGCCCCCGCTGTCCCCACCTCCCGTGGTGCCCACGGTACAGGGGCGCGCGTGGACAGGGCGGCGGGGGAGGACGAGGACGAGGACCACGAGCTGGAGCCGGAGCTGCACCAGGTGCGCCGGGGAGGGTCACCCGGGTGGCCGACGCCGGGTGCTTCGTTCGCCTTGGCGCCGGCCGCGAGGGCCTCGTGCACGTCTCCCAGATGCCCGGCCGCCGCCGCGCTGGCGCCACCGTCACGCGCGGCCAGGAGGTGTTCGTCAAGGTCGTCTCGGTGGACGGCGCCAAGCTGGAGCTGTCGATGCGAGACGTCGATCAGGATACCGGGAGGGATCTCCTGCCGACGCGTCGAAACCCTGGGGAGGAGGACGCGCCGGAGCCGCCGGGAGGAGGAAGGGGGTTTCTGGGATTTTCGTTCCCGATGAGGACGAGGACAAGGCTGGTCCTCCGCCACGCAGGTCAACTAGGCGGATGACCTCACCAGAGAGGTGGGAGGTGAAGCAGCTGATTGCGTCGGGGCGTTGGATGCCAAGGACTACCCGGTGTTGGATGAGGATGATGAGGGGGTGATTTACCAGGAGGAAGAAGTGGAGGAGCTTGAGATTGAACTCAATGAGGATGAGCCGGCGTTCTTGCGGGGAAAAGGGTGATCCTCGGCTGACATGTCTCCGGTGAGGATTTCCATGAATCTTGAGGGGTCGATGAGCCGTGCGGCAGTAATGCAGTCTGCGTTTATTAAGGAGAGGCGTGATATTCGCACCCAGGAGCAAAGAGGAATGGTTGATGCAATCCCCAAGGACCTTAATCGGTCATGGGAGGATCCCATGTCAAGTGGTGGAAGGTATCTGATGCAGGAGCTCATGGGCACTGGACTATCAGCACAGAGTGTGCCGGAATGGAAGATGACATATGGGAAGGTCGGTACATATGGGCAGAAGTTGAGGCATTCGATTCAGGAGCAGAGACAAAGCCTTCCAATATTCAGGCTGAAAAAGGAGCTGATCAATGCTGTTAATGACAACCAAGTTGTGGTGGTTATCGGTGAGACTGGCTCAGGGAAAACAACCCAGGTTACGCAGTACCTCGCCGAGGCAGGGTATACTACAAAGGGAAAGATTGCATGTACTCAACCTCACGGGGTTGCTGCAGAGTCGATTGCAAAGCGAGTATCAGAGGAGGTTGGTTGTCGAGTGGGTGAGGAAGTTGGTTATTCTATACGCTTTGATGACTGCACAGGACCTGAAACTGTCATCAAGTACATGACAGACGGCATGCTCCTACGAGAGATTTTGATGGATGGAGACCTGTCTTCTTATTCAGTGGTCATGCTTGATGAGGCACACGAGAGAACCATCTACACTGACATTCTCTTCAGCTTGCTAAAGCAGCTAATTAAGCGGAGAAGTGATCTCAAGTTAATAGTCACTTCAGCCACTCTTGATGCGGAGAAGTTCTCTGGTTATTTTTTCGATTGCAATATTTTCACAATTCCTGGAAGAACGTTTCCAGTTGAGATATTACATACAAAACAGCCAGAGAGTGATTACATGGATGTTGCACTGATCACGGTATTGCAGATCCATCTTACTGAACCCAAAGGAGATATCCTATTGTTCCTGACTGGCCAGGAAGAGATTGATCATGCTTGCGAGCGTCTCCATGATAGGATGAAGGCATTCGGTGGGGACATACCAGAGCTGATCGTTTGTCCTGTGTACAGTGCTCTTCCTACTGACGTTCAATTAAAGATATTCGAACCGGCTCCTCCTGGTAAGAGGAAGGTGGTTGTGGCCACCAACATAGCGGAAGCATCTATTACCATAGATGGGATTTACTATGTTGTTGACCCAGGCTTCGCGAAGCTAAATGTCTATAACCCAAAACTAGGGCTAGATTCACTGGTTATCACCCCGATCTCTCAGGCGTCAGCTAAGCAAAGAGCAGGGCGTGCTGGACGTACAGGTCCAGGTAAATGTTATCGTCTATACACTGAGAGTGCCTATCGCAATGAAATGCCACCAACAACGACTCCAGAAATTCAGAGGGCCAACTTGGGGTGGACGGTTCTTAATATGAAGGCAATGGGAATAAATGATCTTTTGTCATTTGACTTCATGGACCCTCCAGCATCTCAAGCACTCATATCGGCTATGGAACAACTGTACAGTCTTGGTGCCTTAGATGAAGAGGGTCTTCTTACCAGGCTAGGGAGAAAAATGGCTGAATTTCCACAAGAACCACCTCTTTCTAAGATGCTCCTTGCTAGTGTAGACCTTGGATGCAGTGATGAAATACTGACAATCATTGCAATGATTCAAACTGGGAACATATTCTATAGACCAAGGGAGAAGCTAGCACAAGCAGATCGGAAAAGATCAAACTTTTTCCAGCCGGAAGGTGATCATCTCACCCTACTCACTGTGTATGAGGCATGGAAGGCAAAGGGTTTTTCAGGACCATGGTGTGTTGAGAATTTCATTCAGGTAAACTCACTAAGGAGGGCTCAGGATGTGCGAAAACAGCTTCTTGAGATAATGGACAAGTTCAAGCTCAACGTCATCTCTGCCAGGAACAATTCCACCAAGATAGGGAAAGCCCTCGCTGCTGGATTCTTTTTCCACGCTGCAAGGAAGGACCCCAGTGGAGGGTACCGGACCCTCGCTGATCATCAGCAGGTTTACATCCACCCGAGCAGCGCCCTCTTTAACCAGCAGCCACAGTGGGTGATCTACCATGAAATTGTTATGACAACGAAAGAGTATATGAGGGAGGTCACGGCGGTGGACCCAAGATGGCTAGTAGAGGTGGCACCGAGGTTCTACAGGTCAGTGGACCCAACGAAGATCAGTAAGCGAAAGCGCCAAGAAAGGATCGAGCCTCTGTATGATAGATACAATGAACCCAACTTGTGGCGCCTGAGCAAGGGCCGCTGGTGATTTTCATCATTTCTTGCAGATCTTTGGTGTAATGTTACTGTAGTGTATATATTGAGGTGCTCTGTTAATGCATATGCTCGAATGATTGCAGCCCAGTGATACATGTATAGTTTTCTGTTCTTAAAGTCGCAAGACTTATAAGGAGTACTTTTTTCCCTTTGAACCGGATGCCAAATGATGATGAGTTTATCACAGTGATTTGCTTGTTTTCTGCTGCTGCTGCTGGTTTGACTGAAACCGATTGAATGTTTATTACAGTGCGGTTACACATTAAATCTGGGTATCCTTATATGTAGCAAAAACTATCATATTTGAGAAGATACCTCTTATGACTGGATCAGTGATGATATACAACACGTTGAAAGATGGACCAATGAGGTACTGATTTCAGATCTGGTGTTGTCCTTGTATTGCGTTTTGCTATTTGAGCTTAGCTTTGTAGGAACCTTCTGTTTTGATGCGTTCCAATCTGTGTTTCCTTCGGCTGGATTGTTGAACTATTTTGTAACACCCCAGGTGTTTCTCACCAGTTAAGCAATGGGTTTAAACTCAACCATGGAATGTTAAGTGGTGATGGAGATGATAGATCAAATCTACAAAAATGAGCCACCACTTAAACTTGGACCATGCACCATTGCTTACATGTTGCCCTTTCCAAAAAGTATGCTTGAGTAATGTTGGATGTACTTCTTTTATGTGTCTCACATCAATATCCATCTATATTGATCCATGGAAAAATTTCATGAAGTTTGGAATCAAGAAGTCACATGAAATGACAAGTTATGTCCTTGCTTGAATTGTTTTATAAAGTGAATGGAAATGTAGGTCATCAACCAAACCTTGCAACCTTGCCCAAATGACTCTAGATGAACTCTACAACAAAAGTCATGAAAGGTTTATGTTGGGCAAATGCCAAGAAAATGCTCAATGGATCAAAAAGGATAATCTAAGTTTTATCGTGATCCTACTTTGGTCAAAGTAGAACTATAGGTTCTATGCAAGCTTTGATGTTGGACCTTAAATAAAAGTTGTAGCTCATATTATGTAGAAGAAACTTTGTTTTTACACTAAGACCTAGATCAGCTTGAAAATAAGTCAAACAGAGGTCACAAGATTGAATCTACTGCAGTTTTCAGCGCTTGGAAATATTCTAAGTCTGGAATTTCATTGACATCAGCATTGGCGTCTCACGTTCTCCGAAATTCGTTAAGCAACTTGAGTTGGTCCAAAAATAAAAGTTGAAGGCTATACTATGGAGAAGAGCATGCAAAAAGTTGCACTGAGTTTGACCGAGTTTTGACCTCCGAAAGTCAATTTCCGTGACCGTTATTAATGTGTTGACACTAGCAGTTTGTGGCTTAATTACCTGCTGATGAAGAGCTCTAATGACCTTGGTCTCTTAATGAAAAATGTAGAGCGGGCCGAGTACAGAAAACTTCGTTTTGGGCCTATGGAACAAATCGGCCCGTAGCTGGCCCAAACCTGCGCTCCACCATGTTCACTCCGTCGCTCGCTAGGTGTTCGCGGAAATGCCCCAACGGATGCCGCGTGGCCTGTGCGTGGCGACCATGCGTGAGCGCGCTCCCGCCATTGCAGCGCGCCGTTGCCGCGTGGTCTGCCCCTGTCGCGTCCCTGCGCCTCCTGTAGTGAAAGCCGAGCGCCCGAGCTCCCTCTGGCTCTCTCTGCCTCACTCATGCTGCTTCTCTTCCTCTCGCTTCGGAGTTGCAAACCATGGCCACGGTGGTGCTCCCATGGCAGCCGTGGCGCTGCTCTCTCCTTTCGCCTCCGCCCCAAGCTAAGGTGGCCACACCTTCGACATCCCCACCTTGCCGCCTCCCCCGACCGTTTGTTCGACCACCCATCACGCTTCTGACCTCTGACGGCCACCGTTGCTGCCAGATGTCCCGCGCCGCCACAGTTCTTGCGCTCCGTGGTCGGGCCGTCTCAGTGCAACCATCGGCCAGGCCGGCCTCTCCCTCGCCACGCGTGGGCTCAGGCAAGCCAGCGCCCTCGCCGCTCGCCGACGCGCTTCCCTCCCTGCCGAGCCGGTCGAGTCGCCGGCCCGGCCACCACGTCTTGTGCTTCTGCGTCTGTTGTGAGATAGAGAAGACGAAGGGCCACGCAGGAATAAGATATTTTACAGGGGTTAAGTGAAGAAGTTGTGACTCATGTGAATAGTGCAAATGAGGACCTTTTCGCTGGAGTTTAATTTGTGTTTACTGCAGGGACCTCGATGCAAGATTTAAATTTCCTTTCTCTGATTTTTGCAGATTTGAATGCTCCACTTTGAAAATTCGTAGTAATTTGTAGAAAAATCTTAAAATAGTAAATGATGACTTTTTGGAATCCTTGTGAAATTGTCTATGCAGTAGATCTATAATATTATATGTTTTAGTTTAAATATTTTTCTGTAAAAATAGATCTATGCAGTTAGGTTCCAAATACTAGTTATGTCTTGTCTTTTTCATAACTGAAGTTGTGGTGCTCAAATAAATGTGAAATTTTTATGGAGTCTTACTCTGGTGATGTTTGATGTCTGGTAAAAATTTCAGGAGTTTAGGATTGATGGTTTAAGAGTTATAAAAATAACAAATTCCTTGTGTTGCTTTGCTTCTATTCTGAATAGTCCTGCATGTTTGAATTAATTGGCTCAGTTAAGTTATGAATCATGACTTTATGATAATACATGAGTTGTATTACTTTTATTAAGCTTTTGAAAAAGCTAAATATCATGATTTTTGGTTAAGTAGATCTTGAGTTATACTTGCTTAAATCTCTGTGGCTGTTTCTGCCCAAATCCAGAGAGGGTTTCCTTGTTCTTACTGTGGGGCCTTCTTAATAGTAGAATTAGTTTGAGGTGTTTACAACAAAGTTCTTTATAATTTGACAAGCTTTCTAAAAAGTTTAGAACCACATTTATTGGACATATATAACTCCATTTATAGCTGTTTAAAGTGGCATGTCAGTTTCTATCTATGTTTTGGACAGAGATGTAATTATTAGATTAATTGACCCATCTAACTGTAGAATCATCTTAATATGAGAATAAGAAAGTTGTAGGTAACTTCCTAAGCTTTTTAAAAAGTTATGGTTCATGTTTGTTGGAGGTCTAGAACTCCAGTTATGTTTCTCTGAAGTTCCTATCAGTTTTCTATACCACTGCTGTTGGGTTGCATTTGCAGTTTTGCTTGTGCAATTATTTTCGTGGTGTAAATGATGTTTTCTATGGTTGTAGTGAATACAAAAGTTGTAGCAAATTTCATGATCTTTCTTGTGTTCAAATTGTAAGGCCATAGGCCTGATAGTGTAGGAGTTACATGACTTTTAAGTCTTCTGTCAGGTTTTGATTGTATTCTGAGTAGATCTGAAAGATGCTAGTGTTTGATCTAGTTAGGATTTGAATGAACTTTTGGTGATAATAACAAAGTTGTAGATAATTCATGTATCTAGCTGTTGTTAAAATTTGGTGATATTTGGTCTTGTGGTTTGTGAGTTATGCCTGTTTAAAGTTGAGTTTCAGAAATGGCTGCTTTCTGTCAATTGTGGACCAGTTTCTGTAAATGGATATATTTGGCTTAGTTAACTTGAGAATCATGCTAAGATGATTAAAGATTAATTGTAGAAAATTTCATAAGCTTTCCAGATTGTCTTGTTGCATGTCTTTTGGATTAGTACAACTCCTATTATGAGTAAAATTAGCTACTGTTGTTTGCAGCCTTAGACTCTGTGATTGCCGTGAATAACTGGTTTGTCTTGAATGCTTATGTGATGCATCTTGTGTTATCATTCATCACATTCATACACATGCATTTTGCATCTCATCTAGGTGCGCTAGATGAATCACGTGAAGGACGTGATGTTGGAGCCGAACCCGAAGACGGTGTATGGAGGATCTATCCCGAAGATGGAAGGACTAAGCGAGTGCTAGGACTTGAGACGTCACCAGGACGGTGCAAGCTAACTGAACTGACTTGTGTCGGATCCCAGATAAGCCCCGGAGCATTCTAAGTCTCCCATGTTTTTACAAATATCTTGAGTATCTTTTATTGTTGATGATACATTAAGTATAGGAATTGGTTGGAACCAATTGTTGCATTATATCCTTACCTTGTCCAGATAAAATCATATGAATCCTAATTAAGTGTAGGATCAAATGATGCTTAGCTATGCTTAGACCGGTAAAAGTCGGGTGATTTCCTATCACCTGTGAGATGTAGGATGAGCTCTGGTCACGGTTGGCTATATTTGCTATCATGAAAAAGAACCATGTGTTAATAATGAAAAGAGGCCGGACGGGATGATGGTAGTGCAGCAACAAGGCATGGAGGTCTTGGGTGTGAATCTATCCCCGTCTATGTCGTTTAAGGACCGATTCGCTTTACGTCCTCATGTCATGTTGAACGCATGCCTATCACTTAGTTGGCCGAATAACTCGTTCCGACCGCGAAGCCGAGTAGCTCAATTCAGGCCGGAAGTCTGGGAAGTGAAAGTGCGCACCCTGGCGGTAGTAAGTATGTGCGGGGAGCTATTGGCGTAAGTCCGAGGTGAGATTGACCACCTGGCAGAGTGGACTCCCTAAGGGTGCGGCGCTGCTCAGAACCGCGATTCCTGAGTTGTACCAAATGTGACCCGAGGAAACCATTGATCAGGTGGATTGGGTGAGTGTTAGGAATACCCCTCCAGCTGGATAGGAATCGATTCGAATCGTCGTATCTCCCGGATAGTGAGAACTTGACTGAGCAGCGGCAACGTAGATTCACTAAATTTAAAGATATGGTTAAATGATGATGATGATGATGATTATGATTATGAGCCATGAAATAGCTGATATGGTTATTATTGTTTGCAACTTAATTAAGTGATTGATTATTACAGGTGCTAATATAGATGGTAGGGAATGGCTAAAAGTCACTGCTAGTATAGGTGGATAATGCTAATGATTACTCCAGCTTTTATGCAAAAAGGTTGTCAGCTCAGCTTCACCAAATAAAGCCTTGCATAATCCTTGGTGTCACTTTATTTCTGGTTTACGACGGGTAAGTCTAGCTGAGTACATTCGAGTACTTAGGGTTTATCCCACCATGTTGCAGGTGAAGTTCTCGGCCTGTTGAAGATGGTGGCTAACCGCCGGTGGGCTCGGTGATTCTATATTTACTTCTCATCTATATGCTTTTGTCTAAGGATGTCCCTTATGCTAGCAATGTATTTGGAATTTGTATTAATGTAATAATTTGAACACTATGTTGTTTTCATTAATCGGTTTTGAAACCCAAACTTGTACTATTATTTGTGAACTCATTTGTAATATTATTTCCGCTGCAACTCTGCGTATGTGATATGTATTTGCTTAATTACGCGATCTTGGTTGTGATGTTGATTTACCGAGGTCCTTCGTGACACTCGGCGGACTACCGGGTTTATATGAGTAAAAGTGTGTGTGTCAACGTGTTAGCGGAGACAGCCATACTTGATCTTGTATAAATTGGGCGGTTTTGTCACATATTCTTCAACAATATAAAATGCTAGTTTCATGATTATTGGTGTCAGATTCTGGAGATTATGTTTTTGTCTTACATCTTCATTTTTTAATTGCCAAGCTCCAACACCATTGTGTTTTTATGCTCAGTTAGATCCTGCTGTTGCTGGAGCTGTGAACTGATGCTTTATTTTCCGTCTTGTGTGTGCATTGTCCAATGCTCGTGTTCCTGATAGTGTCTGCATTTTGGATGGCTGGTTCTAGATTACAGAAGCTCTTCTCAAACAGTCTCACTAATCTTCTCAAACAGATTACAGAAGCTCTGTGAGACAAATACCATGCAGAGATGCAGAGTTGCTGCTTCAGCTGTTCATTTCTTTTCTGTTTCCCCCCTCTGTTTATTCTTTGCTGACCCCTGACCTGGCTTTTGCGCATTAATTCCTCCTGTAGATCGTACATTGCACCGAACAGAAGTTCTAATCACGTAGAGGTTTTCTGATGAAGTTGTAATCTGAAATTTTAAAGTATTCATCTTGCTTAAGATGAATTTCTGCAAGACAGTGAAAGCAGCGGCGCATCAGAAAGGCTGCAAAACTCTCCATGGCCACTGCATCCGTGGGCTAGGCATGATCCTGCCGGCAATGCCAATGGAGAGTACTCATCGATGACAGCCTTGGCACCACTCAGGTGCCTTCCCTCGCGATCATTCTCATTGTCTAGTTCTCAGTTAAAAAACAAAGTATCTATGCAGGTTCCCAGTTCAAAGAGGAAATCTATCAATCGTGGAAATTTTTATGTGCCTCCTTTTAGGCTTATAGGCACTTGACATTGCTTGGTGATCTATGAGGCTCCACAGACACTGGGCAACACAATGAGACCACGCTTCTGATGTTATTGATCTTCAGAAAGTACTATGGGCGATGGAATTTGGCATTTGGTGGTTCATCAGACTTGCGGATAGCAGAAGTGACTGTGCTAATCCCTTAAACTGTTCGATTACTGATTGCAGCTTTTGGAGAATATGGCTGTGCGGTGGTACACGCTGATGCTGCTTCGTGTACTCAATATGCCCAAACGCCCTGCCATTTATCTCCATATGTTCTCATTTAGGGCTCTTACCATGTGTTTGGAAGTTTCATTCTCAATCCTCATATTCTTTCCAACAAAATGATATGTGTGGTGAACTTCTGTATATGGACTCAGGACTAAAAGAATTCAGGACTCAGGAGGCATTCAACTTGACAGAAATACCAATTCCATTTTCCTCTGTTTGTATCTTGTATGACTCATGATTAAGGAAATGCTGACTAGACAATTCAGTTGTATACTGAATATCATCATCTAATGCTTGAGGTACACCAAAACTTCAGTGTTACTCTTTATTACTCTCGTTGATTTTCTTAGTGACTTAGTTTATATGATCTTGTAAGATGTAACCCAAACAAAGGAATCAATCTATCTGTGAGTAGGCTGTTGATTCAAGAGGGAAACCCTAAACACGAAGGAAGGTATAAGTTACTGCAGGAAGAAAGAAGTCACCCAGTCTCCTGAGATCACCACAAGACCCATCTGGGAAGAAAAGACAAGGATGAAGTACAGAAGAAGCAAAGACCTAATCCTCTACATCTAATTTTCGTACTCCCCTTTCCATTTGCAGTAATGCATTGCTCATTTCTCTACTTATAGAGGAAGAGGATCATACATTAGCTTGGCTCAAGGATTACAAAGTGAGGAAAGAGATCTGAAAAGGTAAATTTCCTATTCATAATTTCATCAACTTGTTTTGTTATCAGAATTTTAATGCAACCTGGAGATCTTGTGAATATTTCATCAAACTTGTTCAATCTTGTGCTTTTCCATTGCTTGCACTTTCTGGTTCTTGTGCCGCTGCTTTATAACCTGTAATTTCAGGTTAGCTTTTCTAGTGTCCTATTCTTCCATGTATAATGATTAAGGCCAACGTACTATTAACATTAACATACTCACAGGTCCTAGATGCCTCACATAACACAAATGTTAGTTCTAATGTAAATTGTAGAACATTATAGCTTTCATGTTAGACAAAGAACACAATAGTTGCACATTAAGCTCCTAAAACAGAGCTTAAATTATGTAAGATCATGGGGGACATTTACTCATTGGTAAATTGTTAAATTGTTTCTGCTTACGCAACTATTTTGTCTAGTTAATTATTAGTTGTATGCAACATCTGCTTGAACTGAGCCAATAGTTTCAGATGGCTATCTATTTCCCCCATTATCCATTCCCTCTAGTTTTGCCTTTCTAGCAATTGGGCTGCGCTTATTTTTGTTCATCTATCTTCTAGAGATGGCTGTCCTACAAGTTGACAAGAAAATGCTTGGTGAACTTGAAGCCATGGGATTCCCAACTGCTCGTTCAGTTAGGGCACTCCATTTTTCAGGTATATATTTTCAAACAAACTTAGTATGTCCAGGTTTGCATCAATGTTTTTCTGTACCAAAGATAGGTTGATAATACACCAAATAGAAACTATGACATTTGGTCCCTTCTATGGTTGCAAAAGTTATGTTTGTGTATTTGTGCCCATCCAGCTATCCTTCCATGGTTTGTGTGTTTTCGCTATTCACTAATGGCATTGGCAGTTGATAGATATGCCATTTCATAAAAATGGAAATTATGCAAAGCTCTAGCAACATATTTGTTATAAATATTCAGTATATTATTTCTTTAGTACGTAGTTCAATGAATTGGAGAGGTAATAATATGTCTTGATCAGGTAATGCCAATCTTGAATCTGCTGTAAACTGGCTTCTGGAACATGAAAGTGACCCAGACATTGATCAGCTACCATTGGTAGGTTATTTCTTAACAATGAATATTCTTCATTAGCTGAAGTCCTTTCTCCTGAGCATTATTCCGTGTTCTGAAATTATTCTCAATAGAGGGAACTGTAAAAGAAGTTTTCACTTCATGAAATTTGACAGCAAGCTAACCTGTACATATAAATAACCACAAATTATTTGGTCTGAGATTGTAGCTTGGAACCTTTTCAAATGTTATTAATATGAGGCTGTGAAGCAACTGGCATCATAATACTTGACACTATATGTCGAGTTCATAAACCCGGGGTTCCTAATGGACCCGCTTCCCTACAAAACTCGGCCCAGCAGGCGACGTAGCGACAGCACGTGCCTAGGCCGGCCCAGATACACAATAACAGGCCAAGACCACGATCCGGTCCCCGACCGGCACCTCCGGCCAGGAGATCTGATCGGAGGTGCGACCGGAAGGCCTGGCCGTGGTGGGACCGCAGTCCGACTCTGAACCCCTTTCTTCGACCGAGAATACGCCAGGACCTCTGCTCACTGCTCTTTCCCGACCGACACGGTCGGGGCCGACTGGGAATGACCGACCGGGGACGCCCGCTCGGTGTGGGCCCGGGGAGCAGGAGGAGCAGATAAGGTAAGGCGCTCAAGTTAACCGCAATACCGAGGACCGTATTCTGTCATGCCCTGCGCACCTGCAGGACGGTGCCATCGGGGCATGTCAGGCGAACACGGTAGAACCTGTCAGACGCGTCAGAGCATAAACAGTATCGTGGGCGCCGTCGTTTGCTGTACCAGGCGAACACGTTAGAGCCTGCCAGACGCGTATGAGCATAAACAGTATTGTGCGCGCCGTCGTTTGCCGTACCAGGCGAACACGGTAGAGCCTGCCAAACTCGTATGAGCATATACAGCCTGTGGGCGCCGTCGTTTGCCGTACCAGGCGAACACTGTGCAGCCTGTCAGATACAACAGAGCATGAACAGTAAGGTGGGCGATGGCGACCATCCCGTACCCGATGGCGTGGGCAACAAGACTAGGCAGCGTCCGTATGCACTCTCTCTTTCTCTTTGACTTGTAAGGTCATCTCCTTCAACTATAAAATGGGATGCGCTCTCTCCTACCGGGAGGATCGAAGACTCGAGGACTCGAGGACAACAGCATAACAGCTCTAGAGCTCGACAGCTACACAATCTACACGCTCTCAACAGCTGATAAGCTCGGACACACAGAGCATACACTCCAATACTTAGTGCATGTTTAAGCATCCGTCACTCTTTTCCACTCGGTCCAGAGTCCGACCGGGCCTCTAACACCCCCTTCTCATTTCTTACTCGTTTGTAACCCCACAACAAACTTCGAGCACCTGGGCTCAGGAATAAAGTCACCGACCAACCTCAACTAGACGTAGGGCCTGTTGCCTGAACCAGTATAAATCATGTGTCATTGAGTGCTAGGCCATATCTGATCACAACGCACAGTAAAACTACAAATATTTACTTGTTGACCATATTTCGTACTGACATTATATTTATATTTTTCGATCAGGTTGCATAGTCATGTGAACATTACTGTCACAATGTCACTACATTTGAAACAATTTGTTTTGATTGGTCCCTTGTATGGTCTAGGTTCTAAGAGAGATAAGCATTGAATGTGGTGACACATCAAACGAAGTAAGAAATGGCGTTCAAGAAACGAGGTTTGTTTTCTGTTCCTTAAATGATTTCATAGATGACTTGCTATGGAAATGTCATAGTACCATTTCAGTCGAAAACTATCAAATCCCAAGTAAGAATGTTAAATATCTACCTCAATTGAGGAATCAGTAATCTACAGCATATTTTGTATGAATGACAGTGTCAGTATGTGATGTCATATAATAGCACTTAAAGCTTTGAGTCTTTGCCACCTCAAAGTCCAAACTTCATTTTTTTTCCTTCTTCGGGATTTCAGATGACCTTCTATCAAGTGTCATTCCCTTTTTTAATGGAACGGCTGGGGGGGCAGGGCTGTCCTTCAGCCTGCCCACTTTCTAAGACTACACTTCTGTGTCATTCACTAGGAAATGGAATTATCAAATGATTAGTGATCATGTTAGTTCTTGTAAATGTGGTTGTATCAGTATGATATACCTTCTATGCATAATGTAGGTTTAATAGGAACAAGTCATTCAGTTAAATGCTTGTGTTCCTCAGTAGCCAGATATACTTGGGTGACTCAATGCATGTATTGATCCACATTTCTTTTTCTTGCTATGTATGTTGTTGCAGTGTAAAATGTATGACATACTTGTCTTGCAGGGATACTGTAGAGGAGCAGAAACCTGAAGAACAGACTGAAACCGGAAGACAGAATGTACTTAGTTTTTTTTTTTTGATATATCAAATATTTCCTTTAAAATTCCATACCATTTTTTTGAAGTAAAATTTCATACTATATTGAGTTACATGCACCGACGAATTTACCCAAAAGCTTAAGCTATGCAGAATGGTTGGAGTGTAATCATGCTTTTAACATTCAACGAGTTCGCTTACCAATATACTATGATTTAGTGTGTCGCTACCACTTGCTAGCATCTTTCTTTCCGCCTCATATGGGCTGGAATTAGTGTTCCATTCTTTGTAACATCTTTTGTCACACCCAAACTTCTTTCTTAGGAGACATCCCAGTTGGAACGAGAACCAAATGCAGATGAACAGGAGGAACAAGATACAAAGAGGTGTGTACCTTTACATTATTAGTAGTAAGCTGCTCGCATTTTGTTTATCACACATTCACCCTAGTAGCACACTTGTACTTCTCAGGATATTAGCACTATACAAGCAAAAACGAGACGAGGAAGGAAGAGCAAGGGGGCGAATACGAAATCAATTACAAGAGGATCAGGTATTGCGATTTTTTCATAATTCTAAGAAGTAAAAATCTATAGTACGTACTACAGCAGGAAGTACAAAATGTGCTTTCTTGCACTGTCTTAAGTAGCGGGCGCTAGTCCAGTTGGCTAGCTGCTACCGTGTTGCACCCTTGTGGCTGGAGTTCGAACCCCCACGGGGCGAATTTGTCGGCCGGAAGCGAAAAAAAATCCCTCGTCTGCCTCCACGCCAAAGCACAGGTCTAAGGCCAGCCTAGTCTCACAGGAGCTGCGGTGCCACTGTGTATGGGTGGGGCAGGGGTTCGGGGGTTTTCTCAACCTGCGTGAGAAGGTCTTCTTCTTAAGCACAATGCCCGGGGGCTGTCTTACCCCCACAGGTTGAGTTTTTTTTTTATCCTGTGGCTATTTTCTTGTCCATTTAGTGTTCCTTATTGTTTCTATAGAGGGAGAGGATTCGAGCTGCTAAAGATCTTATGGAAGCAAAGAGAACTCTTGAGGAAAATCAAAGAAAACGGTATGTTTCATATGCGTGTCTCACATGCACTATTTCCAACTCCAGATTGCTTCTTGAAGAAGTGATATTTTTGTTTACTGTAGGATGATGGAAAGTCGGATAGCAGATCAAGAGGAGGAGAAAAGAGCAAGAGAGAGAATACGACAGCGTATAGCAGATGATAAGGTCTGTTGCAACATGCTGAAAATTCTGCTTAATTTATACAAACAATTCTGTAGTCCTTACTGTATTTTTTTTTTCAGCATGCTCATAATTCATCCAATAAATCCTTTATTTTTTGACATTTTTATTATCTTGGATTTCCGCATTGAAAAATCGTGACTCTATGTTCATCAGAGTCAGATGAAATATCGCGCCCTTTCTTTATATTTTTTGTGCACTGTGTGGATTTTATTAAACCAAGTAGTTCCCATTGGTTACGATCAAGCTTACCTTTAAATCATGAATTGTGTTCAAGGTGACGTCATTTTCTTATTCTTTAGCAACTGCATCTCATTTGGCTATTTCCTTCAAAGTTTTCCAGTGATATGCGTCCCGATGCCTAAGTCATATCCTTCTGTGCAGGCAGAAAGAAGGAGACAGCTTGGTTTACCGCAGGAAAATCCTAGTGCTTCAGCTGCAGTCATAACGCCCACAAAGGTCGACATTTCTTTCTGCCATACTTCTACATCTCATGAGCGAAACCTCCAAGCGCATTCCTCACATACATTTTAACTGCAGGTGAAACCTGTCGAACGTGTCATCAAATCAGAACAACTGAGAGACTGCCTGCGAACTCTGAAGAAGAATCACAAGGTAAAATGATCCCTTGCAGATACTAATTTTGATCCATCTTGCTCTTAGTATTTCAATTTGGTATAGAAGCATTGGCGAGGCTGAATATGATGCTGTGCTAAACTCTGCGCCGTTTCTGCATCTTGGTTTAGATCAATGTTGCAGGCATGCTCAGCATTTGCCTTTCTTAGCCTGTCTTTTGATCTAGTGTAGGATTGGTGTGTTGTGTTTCACAATTGTTTGTCACTAAACAAATACAAAATTACGACTGGATAAGTCTGTGTTAATTGGACGCCTGGAATCATTGAATGTGTTTTTCTGTCACCTTGTAGGATGACCCTGCTGCAGTCGCAAGAGCCTACCAAATATTGCTCAAGATTGTTGCCAACATAGTGAAGAACCCAGAAGAGGAAAAGTTCAGGAGGATCCGGCTCAGCAACCCTGTTTTCAAGGTAGAAACCAAGAGGACCAGGCGCACCTGTATATTTCAGAATGATGTGATCTCATCTCACCCCCATATCTTGAATTCACACATCGTGCTCTCTGCAACAACAGGACAGGGTGGGCAGCCTGCAAGGTGGCGTCGAGTTCCTGGAGCTGTGCGGGTTCCAGAGGCTCAGCGCCATGGGCTACCTGGTGATGCCGAGGGACAAGGTCGACATGGCGCTCCTCAACGCCGCCGGGGTCGAGATCGCGTCGCCATGGAGAACCACTGGAGAACCCCGCTACTTCGGGCTGCTTTCCAAGCCCATGAACGGAACAGCCATCATCGCTGCTTCGTCTGCTTTCCGGCTTGACGTCCCTGTCGCCGGTGACGTTGTACAGAGCCCATGATACTGCTATGGATGTACAGTACTATCACTGGAACGGGCTTTAGACTGTAACGGATCGGCCCGTCACGGCTTGACGTCCCACCTGTCGCCAGTGACGTTGTACAGAGTAACCCCCATTTATAGTAGAAAATATAAACGTGTCACAAAACGAAACAAACATAACTTCGTGTTTTGCTAATATGGCGGTAGATTTACTATAAGCGAGAGAAGAAAAAACTGAGAAGCGGTTTCATGCGTGAAGTGAATTGATAGAATCTCATTCAGGATAAAGCGAAATGCACCATGCACAATGGTGTAGGTTAGGGAGCTCTGATGGGACGCATTTGGGTTTTCGAGTACTCGGGTTCCTCACCGTACAACGGAGTCGCACTTCGGCAGGCAGGCCTGACCGCCTGAGGCCAGGGCCAGCCTTGGTGTGCATGATGGTGTACACGAGCTGGGAAGGTGAGGCGGAGCAGCATGCCTCGTTTGGCAAGCTTCGTCCGGTCATCGGATTATAAGTTGCCGAATAAGTATTTTCTCTTGATACCAAACCAAATGGACCGGCGTCGTAAATAATCTATTCTTTGTATATCAAACCCAGAACACATGTGGGCTGTAAAAATAGTTGTCAATTGATCTATCTGATTTTGGTACTGTATTTAATTTACTCTTTGTATGATGATGTTATTTACTTGGAAAACGAACAGGACTACTAGTTTGTGGTTGGGGCCACGGGGTACACGAGCAAAGCAAAGCATTGAATGGCTTTTATTCTCTCTTGGAGCGAGCGAGGGAGCGGATGGGGAAAAGACCCGTGCTGTATGCCGGCACATGACATGCTTTGTGCAACGTACTCCTACTTGCTCGTCTTCGGAGCTTCAATTCCCCACGCCACGCATACGCATCCTTCATCCTTGGGGCCTCGGAATCGAACACAGCAACTTGACGCTGCTACTCCTGGCTTCCTGGGGGATCTACTAATCATCTGGCCATTAGAAGCATCCTGAAAGGCCGCAAGCTTGTGTCGATGTCAGAAACAATGCAGGTTGGATGAGCGGCACCGAAATCGTATGAAGCTTTCACGCTTGGATGTGGATCAGCCTTGGTACACCACACGGCAGCAGAGGAAGGAGCTTGGATCACTTGGATGGATCTTCTCTAGCTCCTCGGATTATTGGAAGATGGGCTCTCATAACTCCGAAGCCACGGCACGAGTCTAGAGTACCGCTACTGGGCTGCTGCTTAAAAGCAAGGGATGGATCTGCGTCCGCATCTCACGCATGGAGTACGGATGTGGCCATGTAACTGTACAGTCTTGTACGGACGCATGCATGACCCGATGAACGTCACAACAGTCCTAGTACTGCAGTAGCAGCAGATCAGCACAGCGGCGGCGGCCTGATCGATCATCGATGGGCAAGGGCAGAGCATCGACGTCGCCTGGCTGGCTGGCACGAGCAGAACGGCCTTCCTCTTCCTGGCATGGGCGCAGGCGCAGCGACGGCAGCGGGTGGCGTGGTACCTAGCGTGGCAGCAGGAGCGAGGCGAGCCTGGCTAGAAGGTCTGGTCTGTAGCTAGGCTTTTCGTAGCCCTAGGCTGGCACAAAGGCAGGCACGGATGGGATGGGGATGGGACGGGACGGGACGGGACGGCATGCACACAGTGGGGCCGGGGATGGGACAGGAGAACAGCAGCGAGCAACGGGCAGTGGCGGACTGATTGGACGAGCGAGCCCGAGATGGGCACACGCTCACAGTGCGAGCAACGCTCAGTGGCGGACTGAAGCGGCTCACTCGCCCCCCAGCACACCGCACATGGAATCCGATGCCAGCCTCCCCCTCGCTTGGCCGCCTCCGTGCCGTGCGGCCGGCGTGCGGAGGAGGTGCGGCATAATCGCAGGCACGGTTCGAGTCCGAGAACGGGGAAGACGATCGGGCCTGTTCGCTTCGCGGGGAAAAAGCCTTCGCTGATTTGTTGCTGATTTGTTGCGAGGAAAGACCGACAAGTCACGCTGCGTCCGCTCGGCAGCGCGCGTACGTCGTCAACCCGATCCGTCCGTACGTCGTCAACCGGCTCAACCGGTCGACCTGTTCGGAGCTTCCTTCCAGTTGCAAAACCAGCCCGTCCAGTCCGTCGCTGTCTCTCGGTCTCTCTCGGCACAGAAAAAATAACACGAGACGATCAGGTATTCAGGTGGATGGACTCGTGCCGCCGTGCATCCATCACTCGGCTCACTTCTCGGCGACCCACCGCAGTCCAGACCCCGCCCCCGGGTTTACGAGCTTTCGTTTGCCCCTGGAGACAGTGGAGAGAGGGGAAAACGGAGCCGCTCGGAAATCCCCAATAGTTATTATTGATTTTATAATTGGTATGATATGATAACTAGTATGTACTCCGTATAATGTTATTTTTATTATTATTTATCTAGAATCTAGTATACTTATTACATTTGAATATCTAACAGGATATATATTTATAGATAAAAAAGTTGAATGCGAGTTGATATTCAAACTATCCGTTTTGTATTAGTAAACAAAGATATTTGAATATGTATCAAAGATATTCGAATATGTCTCAGTATCCACACAGTTGCAGAACCAACATATTTGATTAAAGAGGCGGACAAACATAATGACACCTCAGAAACATATACATATAAGTGTGCATCTTAATAAAAATTTTTCTATGCTTTTACACATGTAGTTAGTGTTCACAATAAAAAAAATCATAATATTATGATAAAATATGAGTAAAATAGGCAAAAATGTGTTTTGCATTGTAATATTTATAAGAGTATTAATTTTTTCATTGATTGGGGGGGGGGCATGGCCCCTCCTGGCCCCTGATTCCGCCACTGTTCTGACAAAACAACATGATAAATATTGACATCTGTATCCAATTCATGTTCATAAGTCCTCCTTCTTGGTTGTTTTACTACACACACACGCACTCACTCAACGTCTCAAGCGGACTGCACGTCACAAAAGAATTCAACTATGGTTTTTGTGTCGGTCAAACTAGTTTAAGTTTGACCAAGTTTATAGTAAATACTATTAGCATCTATGTCTCTAGATAATTTTATTATAAAAATATATTCTATAACTAATCTAATAGTATTTATTTTATATCATTAATCTTAGAATTTTTTATATAACTTTAGTCAAAATTTAAACTGTTTGACTTCTCAAAAAGCAAGAATTGTATTCGTGGATTATAATAAGTAATATTTCCTATGTCCCAAAATAAATAATTTTCTCAAAATTGTATAGATAAATCAAAGACAGCCGACAGATGTACCCCTCTGTAATATAATGCATGCATTCTAGAATTTTTAAGACAACCAAAGGGAATACTCAAATGACGTATGTACCTATGCATTAAACCTAATTACAGAGTTTCTCCTTAAATTATGGTTTTCTTTTTAACAAACTTTGTTCTAAGCATAATCACTACGTGGAATGCATTATATTTCAGTATAATTTTTAGAATTTACATTATACCATATTTTAGGATAGATTTCTGGATAGTGGGTACCTTCATGTTATTTCCTTTGCTTCGTTTTCTTTTCCTAGAAGATATCTTTTGGATTTGACAGCCGTGATCACCTTTCGTATTAGGGGAACAATGTCTTTGTAGAATGTTATTTTTTAGATAAAATTTTAAACCTGAGAAAAATATTTATTTTGAAACGAAGAGTACATTTAATTAAATTTAAAATCATTTGACTTATATAAAAGAAAGAATTATATTATTCTAGAAATCATAGAGTAGCAGTACCAGTTTACAGCACGTCACTCGAGCATGCATCGTGCCATAGCGAAGCGTGGTGAGGGGGGATGATAGCACGGGCAATTTGGTTTGTGCTCCACCACCAGGGACCAGGGTCTCCAGTCCTAGGAACGTGGACGCAGAATTCCAAGAGAAAAGCGTCAAGGGAGTTTGGTTAGCTTTACCGCGAGATTCAAGCGCTGTGTACTAGGCTACTGGCCTTGGATGGGAGTGTTGGACTAGGGGGATCCCACCGGTTGTCATGAATCTGGTTTTTAAAACTAGGTGGAACAGGCTAGTTTTTATCCTATTTTTATGTCAGTTTTTACTAGATTTTTAAAAACGAACAAGCTGCTGATATCCAGCTTTCGTTAGTTTCTTGTGATCCTGTGAGCAATGAATAAAGCCAGATTATTAAAAACTTGAGGATCCAAACACCCCCAACAGTTTTTACCAAGAATCTAGATTTTAGAAATTAGAGGTAAAAACTGCAAACTGAAACTCATCCAAACAGGTCCTAGATAGGCCAGTATTTTTTGGGGGTCCTTGACATCGTGTCACTGTCCCTTGTAGTAGCTCTAGAGACCAGAGTCTAGCGTATGCTTTTGACCAATGACCATCCTAAACAGTGCTTTGCTCCAAAATACTACTACTGTAGGGTAGGATTACCTTTATTTCAGGGTGTTTGGTTCTTTAGTAGCTCCTAAAATTCAAGTCACATCGAATGTTTAGATATTAATAAGGAGTATTAAATATAGATTAATTACAAAACCAATTACATAGATGGAGGCTAATTTTCGAGATGAATTTTTTAAGCCTAATTAATATGTCATCAGCACATGTTTACTGTAGCACCACGTTGTCAAATCATAGACTAATTATGCTTAAAAGATTCGTCTCGCAAATTAGTCGCAAGTTGTGCAATTATTTTCATAATTAATCTATATTTTATACTCCATACACGTGTCCAAATATTTGATGTGATAGAAATTTTAGGAGTTCCTGCATGAACCAAACAGCCCCACTTTCATTCCTCAAGAAAAAAGGGGCTCTCTTTTACCATCATCATCCTGAAGGCTGATTATCGAAATATTTGTTCTAGTACTAACACTACGGTGCCACGCCAGTACGCCACACACTGACTGACTGACTGACACACCGGAGGTTCTAGTGAGAGAACGTTACAAAATTGGAAAGCCAGCGAGAGTGAAAAGCACCGTGTCTCGCAACTACTCCTAGTGCTAGTATGGAGCGGTTAATGGCACAGATTCTGAAAGCACCACTAGCCGAGCACCATCAGATTCATGAAAACCCACAGTTCCAACAAGCGTGGCAGTGGCACAGAGTGAAGCTGAAGCCCGACCAAAACGGTCAAAGTCCGTGGCAGATCTCTCCCACGTTCTCCCCTCACACCCCGCGCGTGGCACTGGCACTGGCACGCCGCACGCAGCTCGCCCCGCACGCCAGGAATCTCGCGCGCGGCGTGCCGCACCCCGCCGGCGCCCCCCGCGCCGAAGCCGATTTCCTTCGTTTCGTCACGCCCTCACGTCGCTGTCCGTCCGCGATCGATGATGACAACAAAGCGCATCAACGGATAGCTAGCTTCGCCGCCGCCGGAAAATGATTAATCCCTGGGTGTCGTATCGTATACACTGAAAAAGAAAACAAGCGTATTATAGAGCGAGCATCGGCGTTGAACAGATTAGATTACGGCCACATCCGGGCTGATGATAGTTGATTCCGCGAGTGTCCCAGTCATGAGCCCCGTTATATATGACAATCGGCCCGTTCGCTGGTTGGTTGTTGAGCTGGTTTGTTGTGAGAGAAAAACACTGTTGGCTGCCTGATTTGGGCTGGCTGAAACCAACAAGCGAACATGGTGAATAATGGAGCTGTGACGCTCAAGGTAGCTTACCCAAGGTGCCCTACCGGATCACGTACGTCGATGGACCCAGCCTGCCTACGCGACACCAATGAGTCGTTCATCGCATGGGATATACGATATACTAGTACTGTAGTACAGTATGCTGGTACAACCAGCCGCTCTCGGCTCTCGCGAAACAAGGAAAGGGAAGGGAACCGAAAAAAATCAAAGAAAAAGTCGCTCTCTCCGGTCGCCGTGCACGAACGAGGCTCCCCACCCGGTTGATGAGCCGCCGGCCACCGGCCGGCGGCCGCTGCACTGCAGGCAAATGTTTGGTTTGGTCTGGTCCAACGGCCACGCACACCAGTGGCCTGTTGTTTCCCCATCTGAACATTCCCCTACTCCAGCCCTCCAGCCTCCAGGCCTCACGTACCCAGGAGGAGTAGCCGAGGAGGTGAGCCGCTCACCCACCCGGCCACACCCCGCGGGCGCACGGCTGTGGCCGTGCGTGCCGAGCTCCGCCTCTGCTCCACCCGTAGCGGCATCCGTATTGACAAGTGCCGGGGACCAACCCTCTCTCTCCCTACTCCGCCTTTGGTCTTTGCCCCGCTACGAGGACGAAAAAGGAGGCCATTCCGTTTTATCGTTGGGGCCGCATCAACGAGCCGACCGCCGACGAGGCTGGAGTTGAATGGTTGATTGATTACTAGCACTGCACCGGTTCGGTTCACCCCCGCACGATAACTGTCGCTAGTGCGCTTGTGCGTAGCGCGCTGTGTTGCGTGTACGAGTGGCTCACACGCGCGCACACAACAATTCGTGGAAAGCCCGGCCGCCGGCCCCGGAGTAGTAGTACGTGACTACGTGTCGTGCGTATCTCTCCATCGGTCGGTGTCAAACAACGGATGATGATTGATGAGAGAGCCACAAGCCCACAACGCCGGGCCGTTCGCTGATCTTATAAGACCAGCCGGCTGGATGATTTCCTTTCTCAATGCACTGTTCATTAAATTAGCCAAACAGTATTTTTCTCTCATAACAAATTAATTAGGAAAGCAGTGTTTTTCACCAAGCTTTCGCATCAAATGACGGTGATCCCCCGATGGTTTTCTTCTTGCCTCCCTGACATCACGCATCTAATCAGAGCTTGAAACGTTCAGCGTCTCACATCGCAAAGCGTACAAAACACAGGAGCTTCCAATGTTGTTGACACTTTCCCATTTTTTTCTCAAAAACAAAAAAAAAACAAAAGGAAATGTTGACAGGCGTGCCCTCCACCAGCAGTAAATAAATAACGGCCTGTTCGGCTGGGGCTAAAACGATCATATATCGTATACGATTGTGGATTATTATTGCTGGCTGGTTTGGTGTGAGAGAAAAATACTGTTCTAACTGAAAATTTACAATCATTTACGATCAAACGAACAGGCAGTAAATGGACTCATGCGGTGGAAATGCAGGAGAGGAGATTCATCCGTGGGACGGAACGGACAAGTATTTGGAGTTGGACTAGGAGCAGCACTGCAGCAGTATAATTTTTTTTTGAAACACAACGCGTGGATCTTCAAGCAGCAGTGTATGTATAGGACGGGGAGTAGACAGTAGAGTATCCCGATTCCTTGAGATCTTCAAGCAGTGCGCGCGTGCTTGCTAGCTGGCCAGCAGCAGAGACCAGAGAGGAGTGGGTACTTCTCTCTTGGGTCAAATGTCACCTCTTTACTTTTAACCAGCCACGGTGGTTGCTCACACTTTTGACTGTGAGAGGGGAGATCGGTCAGTTCGTTCGTTCGTTCGTTCATAATCGCAAGAAAGAACTCGCTCGATCGATCCAGTACATTTTCTGGCTTCGGGAGCTGAGGCAAGAACAGAAATGTGCAGCATGGAAATGTTGGTTTCTTGCAGCAATCAAAGTCGAACATGTTGTAATCTTTTCACAGGGGGAGCAGAGCACAAGAAGAAGAGGGCAGGGAAGAGAGTTGGGAGATCTATCTATGGCGGCTGGATCCTATTTCAGTCGCGGGCGCACCGGATTGGGCGACGATCCGAAGAGGGCGGTCCTTCCTTGCATTTCGCCGGACGAGGTGTCGGTCGGCACCACACCAGAGGGCGGGGGTGGGTGGTGGGTCAGAAGATGTCGAGGACATCGACGATGGCGGCGTTGCAGAGCGCAGCGGCCGCGGCCGCGGCCGGCGAGGAGCTCGCGGGCGCAGGCGCGGCAGAAGGTGTGGCCGCAGGGGATGAAGGCCGCGCCCTTGGCCCGGGCCATGCACACGCAGCAGCACCCGGCGACCATGCCTCTGCCCGCAGCCTCCGGCTCCAGCTCCGTGTCGTCCGCCGGTTCCAGCGCCTCCGACGTCGCTGAATCTTCTTCTTCGGGCTGGGTTGCGCCGCCCGGGACGGCGCTCCACTGCCGGTCCGTCTGCTCCAGGAGCGCCATCAGGGAGACCCTCTGCTCCTGCTCCTCCTCATCCGCCGACGCGGCCGCGGGCGGCGGAGGAGGCGGAGGCGGGGGAGGGGCGGCCTCGGCGGCGGCGGGTGCCGGCGCCGGCGGAGACGCCGTGGCCGTGGTCGGGGGTGGCAGCGACATGGCGCGGCGGACGAGGGGGTCACCGGCGGCGGCGGTGGGCCCCGAGGCGGGAGGCTGGTCGTCGCGGATGATGTCGAGGAGGGTGCGCGCCGCTGCCGCGGCGGCGGCGGCGGCGGACGACGACGACGGGGACGGCGCCGACGACACCTGCCTCTCGGCGGCCATGGCGGAGGCGAGCGTGACGGCGGCCCGGCGCCCGGCCGACGCGAGGTCGTCCTCGTCGCGGAGCTTGAGCAGGTCGCGGAGGTTGCAGGACCCCGCAGCGGCGGCCCCCCCGGGCCCCGCGACCGCGACCGACGGCGCTGACCCCACCGCGGCGAGCTGGTCCGCCAGCGTCACGCTGCGCCGCAGCACCCGCCCCTCCATCCCTTCGCCCCAACCCCAAGCAAGTCGGTCGCCGGCTCACGCACCCACCGGAGACCGGGAGCTCGAGCCCGGACAAGGCAGTGGAACCGAAGCGCCTATTCTAAGCGGCGGGCGGGCAGCAGCGGCACGCTTGTGTGGACCAGTAATATATAAGTGAGGGCGCGCCTGGGGAGGCGTGCGGGGGGTTCGTCTGGATCTCGCGTGCGGGCGAGGGAGGGCGGAGGCGCCGCGTGACGCGCTGATTTGGGGGCGGAATTGGCTGGTTTTTTCGGGGTTCTGCGTGTCAGCGCCTGCTCGGCTCAGGGCGGTCGGCCTCGCCTCGCTCTGCCTGCCTTTCGGGTGGGTGGCTGGGTGCGCGTGCGCTTTGCTCGGCGCTTTGGAGTTGGAGTTGGAGTTGCTGTTGCAGTTGCAGTGCCAGTGCAGCTGCAGCAGCGCTCGCGCTCGCGAAGTGGAAGGAGGGGAGGGATACTTAAGGCTGCCGGGCGGGGGAGTGCGGATCTGCCACGGTAAAATTGGATGCCGTTTGTCGGGTGTGACGTGTCGAGTGGAGTGTGGAGCGCTGTGCGCCCGGGGCAACGAACTGCGGAGCCGCCTGTCCGCCGACCGTGCTGCGCGTAGCGGGCACGGCGTGCGCTGATGGCAAGGCGTGCGGGACTGCGGGATCTGGCTGGGCCGGCTGAGCTGACGAGGAGGGCTGCTGCCGCTGATGTGTTGGTTTGGCTGTTTCTTCTTCTTCTTTTTTTTTTTTTTTTGATGAGAAACGGCTTGGCTGGCTCCTGGAGCGGGCAAGCGGCGGCAACGGAGGCGGCCGCGTTTGTTGGGCCGTCAGGCCGTGCGAGAGACTCTGGGCCGCGTGCCAGCTTTGGTCCAGCTGCCGGAGCTCAACAACGCCTGACTGTCAGTCAAGCGAACCTTCCAAGCGCCGCGGACTGACCGCCTGTCCTGCCAGTGAAGCGACGGCGATTACACCGCGCAACAGAACACAGAGACACACCGGGCTACTCGCCTGCGCTCTGTTAGCTCGTGTTATAAGTCATATTTTTCCGTCAACGAATGCGGTTTTTCTCTCACAAAAAATCAATCAATAATATTTTCAAATGCGACTTTATCGCCAAGCGAACATAAAGACCGGTGTTCGACATGTTCGCATGCTCCGTCCTCCTCAAGGTCAAGGAAACAAATGTTCTGTTCGTTTGGTTGATAAGCCATGGCTAAAAGTACTGTAGGTTAATTTGTCGTTAGAAAAAATAGTATTCGCTGATCAAAAAAAATCGACTTATAAGGAAAGCGAAATGTATGTAAACACAGAGGCACACAAAAAAAGAGAGGTACTAGCGACATTATTATGGCATCGACGAGAAAGGAAAATTTCGAGTCGCCTTGGACCCACAGCTTGCAAAACATCGTCGCCACTCACGGCCCCACTGCACAAAATTCACCTCACGTCCTCACTAGACACTATGGTCCACGCTCCACAGTTCTGCCTGCACTAGACCGCTGAAAGGTCCTAATGACTAGAGAGAAGTGAATAGTCTATTAAAATTTCTACAACAACACTTAGCAAACCGGTTAAACAAATATGAGGCGAAGCGAGCGTTGCGCTAGCATACTAAAAATGTAAGCCACCTACCACAATTCTAGTTTCTATAGTCTCTATCCACACAATGGCTATGTTGCTACACTAAGTTAGTGTGCTCTCAAAGACTAACTAAAGAGCCACACTAATCAAACTAACAAACTCTCACGACTAGCTACACTAAAGAGCTTGACAACTAGGTTGCGGTAATGTAAAGAGATAAGGCAAGATAGTTATACCACCGAGTCGAGGAATGAACCAATCAATCAATCACAGGAATGCATATCAATAAAGACCAATCACCTCGGAATCAAATGATGACATAATAATTTTTTACCGAGGTTCACTTGCTTGCTGGCAAGCTAGTCCTCGTTGTGGCGATTCACTCACTTGGAGGTTCACGCGCTAATTGGCATCACACGCCAAACCCTCAATAGGGTGCCGTACAACCAACACAAGATGAGGATCACACAAGCCACGAGCATTTTACTAAAGTACATTTTGGCTCTCCGCCGAAAAAAGATCAAGAACCCCTCACAATCACCATGATCGGAGTCAGAGACAATCACCAACCTCCGCTCAATGATCCTTGCTGCTCTAAGTCGTCTAGGTGGCGGTAACCACCAAGAGTAACAAGCGAATTCAGCAGCGAAACACGAACACCAAGTGCCTCCAGATGCAAGCACTCAAGCAATGCACTTGGATTCACTCCCAATCTTATAAAGATGATGAATCAATGATGGAGATGAGTGAGAGGGCTTTGGCTAAGCTCACAAGGTTGCTATGTCAATGCAAATGGCGAAGAGTGTGAGCTTGAGCCGGTCATGGGGCTTAAATAGAAGCTGCCACGAAATAGAGCCGCTGGCTCCTCAGTCCACTAAAAATCGAGGCGATCGGACACGCCGTCGATCGACGGACGCAGACCTGAGACCCAATCGTCGCGTCATGCGATGCACGCCACGTGGCCCCTGCTTCAAATGTTGATCATCCAATCTCGACGGTCATCATTGCACTTATGTTGTGACCGGACGCTCTACAGTGTGGGACCGGACACAGGACCCTAGCGTCCAGTCATTTCCAGTAAGGTTCCAGTCGTGACCGGACGTGTCAGTTTGATCATGACCGGACGTAGGAGCCCAGCGTCCGGCCACTTTCTGTAAGGTTCCAGTCACGACCAGACGCATCAGTTTGATCACGATCGGACGCAGGATCCCAGCGTCCGGTCACTTCCAGTAAGGTTCCAGAGGTGGAAATTCGCGACCGATCGCGTCCGGTCAAGCCCAACCGGACTCACCCAGCGTGCGGTCACTCACGGTCTTCTCTGTGCGCTGCCACAATAGCAGGACCGGACGCTAAACAGTGTTCAGCCAGAGTCCGATCGCCTGCGTCCGGTCAAGAGACCGAGGGTGGCCTTCACTGCGCGCCACTGACCGAACGCAGGACCCAGCGTCCGGTCACTGCGTGACCAGCGTCCGGTGCACTCTTTGAAACCCTATCTTTTTTATACACTCCATCGGTGAAGTTTTGAATCCTTGCTCGCAAGTACTAAACACAATGTGTATCACCTTTGTGCATGTGTGTTCGCATATTTTCACAAATGTTTTCAAGTGTGTTAGCACTCTACTAGATCCTAAATGCATATGTAATGAGTTAGAGCATCTAGTGGCACTTTGATAACCACATTTCAATATGAGTTTCACCCCTTAATAGTACAGCTATCGATCCTAAATGTGATCACACTCGCTAAGTGTCTCGATCACTAAATAGAAAAGCTCCTATCAATTTCATCTTTGCCTTGAGCTTTTTGTTTTTCTTTCTTCTTCTCCAAGTCAAGCACTTGATCATCACCATGGCATCACCATCATCATATCATGATCTTCATTTGCTTCACCATTTGGAGTAGTGCTACCTATCTCATAATCACTTTGATAAACTAGGTTAGCACTTATGGTTTTATCAATTCACCAAAACCAATCTAGAGCTTTCAACCACGCACACCTCTACTCAACGCTCTACAGTTTAGAGAGTACCATCACACTTGTCAACGGCAACGTATACGGTGGTTGTAACATCTTTCAAAAGGTTGGCAGAAAGAACACAGCCACCTATTGGGCTCTGTCTCTCTAACTCTCTCTCTTCCTCAATTGAAATGGGAGTGCCAATTCAGGCAAATTCGATAGCCGGTACGAGCCTATAGCAAATCTAGAAATCGCAATGACGGATTGGTACTGGAATCTAGATGATGCTTTTTGAAACACTTACATGGTGTCTGACAAAGCTTTGCTAGATGATCTCCAACCAATTGGCCCAACGGTCAATTGGGCCCTTGGATCCGCTCCCTGATCAGGGGCGCTCAATCGTTCCATGGTTGGTGGGCCCCGTCGCACAGCGCCATAAAAGGGAGGTGGGGCCAGGGCATAAGGCACGAGGTTCACCTGAGCCACCAGACGCCCCACCTACAGTCGTGAAACCCTAACCGATCTAAGTGAGGGGGCGTTGCCAGCGACGGGAAGCACCTCCTCCGGCCAACGCCGCCACTACACCGCTACCTTTCACCGCCGCACCTCCATCGAGTCTCCACCGAAGGCAGCCGATGGTTTGCCACCCTGTGATAGAACCGCCTAATTTATACAAGATCAAGTATGGCTGTCCCCGCTAACACGTTGACACGCGCATACTTTCACTTATACAAACCCGGTAGTCCGCCGAGTGTCACGAAGGACCTTGGTAAATCAACATCACAACCAAGATTGTATGATTAAGCAAATACACATCACATACGCAGAGTTGCAGTGGAAATAATATTACAATTGGGTTCACAAATAATAGTACAAGTTTGGGTTTTAAAACCGATTAGAGAAAACAACATAGCTTTCAAATGATTACATTAATATAAGTTCCAAATACATTGCTAGCATAAGTGACATCATCCGACAAAAGCATATAGATGAGAAGTAACTATAGAATCACCGAGCCCACCGGCGGTTAGCCACCATCTTCCGCAGGCCAAGAACTTCACCTGCAACATGGTGGGATAAACCCTGAGTACTCGAATGTACTCAGCTAGACTTACCCGTCGGAAACCAAAACAAATGACACCAAGGATTATGCAAGGCTTTCTTTAGTGGGCTAGCTGACTCGTTTGTGAAAAGCATAAGCTATCATGAAGAAACCATTTTAAGTACTTTGCATCATCTTTATTATGACCTATCCATCTAGGTAAGCACCTATACTATAGCAATCACTTGATTAACCAATAACATCTAGTTACCAACTTAGATTTAGCATATCCCATACCATCCAGATAACCATTAGTGTTCCATCATAATTACTATGATGCTATAGCTCGAGTCAAGTGCTCACTATCCAGGAGCGATGGCGATTCGAATCGATTCCTAACCAGCTGGTGATTTATTCCTCACAC